AAAATCTTGGGGTGGGCTACATTCTATACAGGGTGTTCGTATTTAAATGCAACATAGGGAATATATTGCCGCCTGTAGGTGGAGGTTGAGGAATGCTATAAGGCCCACCAGGTTGCATATTTGCAAGGATACTACACACCAGGAATAGGTTTCATCCTCAATGATATGCAACCCGGTGAGTTACTAGGCATGCCATGAACTCCACAAACAGGCATCAAAAACTTCCCCATGTTGCGTTTAAATACGAACACCCTGTATGTCTCAGGTACAGTTAAATGGAGACACTTTGGCTATGAGGCATAATATTGAATGGTCTCCTGGAAAGTGACTGTTCTTTACCCTATTAACAAATGGTTGGGGCTGACAAGAAGTTACTTATTTTGTGACTTCTTCATATTTGGGAGTAAAATGTAAAATGTAAAATAAGTAAAGGGTGACAAATATGAGGGGGGGAGGGTAAAAAAGTTTGTGGAATTTATTTTGTATACTTGCACCTAAAATCAGCATCTCGCTAATTTATGATTATAGCAGGCCTGCATGACATTTAATAAATTAATAAATTTTGCAGATTGGCAAACCTTGCCAGAGTGGAAGTAAACAAAGATGGCTGAGGTCCCTGTGAGAGAGCAGCAGATTGAGATAAAATTCCTTGTGGCTGAGGATGAGAAGGCTGCATCCATTCACAAACTGCTGCAAATTGTTTATAAGGATTGATTTGGTGTTTCAATTGATCGGCTGAGATATCGAATGTCAAAATGGACATTCACAAAATTCAGTGACACAAGCAAACTATAGAAGTTGCCAAGTCAAGGACCCGTTGATGTGGACAATCAACTATGCTAGTGATAAAAAAGAAATTTTCCTGCCAGAGCTTGCAGTTCCACATCACTCTGGAGGTTGTTGTATTATAATTAGAAAAATTGCATTGAAGTCTTGAAAATCAGTACAGAAGGAAATATGTCAATCAATCGAAGTCTTGTGTAGCATCAAAAGGTATGCAGGCATCTTGGAAGACAGCTTTGTGCTGTCCTTCAGGGACATGGTGATAGCACATTAATTAATTTAAGGGTAATTTTCATTGTTCCATATCTCATATCAGAATTGATTAGTTTTTGTGTGGCTTTTAGCAAAGGAGAGCTTTATCTTTGATTCCTCTACCAACTTGGATATTTTTCAAGTATGGTAATGATCATATGTGTGAATAAAGCGTGTTGGTTCCTTTCAAAAATGAGACGCAAGGGAGTGCACCAATTACCATGAAATCACCCTCCTCAATATACATGGTGAAATCTATGCCAAGTTGCTTAAAGATAGAGCATGTGCAGTCATTGGAGAAGGTGTCTGAGAGGAGCAGTGCAGATTTTGCCTGGGGGACAGCATTACTGACCAGCTCTTCACTCTTCAACAGATTCTCAAGAGACAATAGGAAGATGCCAAAGAGGTTTACATGTGTTTTGTGGATCTCAGAGAGACATTTGACCATGAACATCGAGGGAAGCTGTGGGGAGTGCTGCAGGAGTATGTGGTTAATGGTCAGCAATGTGGGCCATTTGATCCTCATATGGTGATTGCAGGAGCTTTGCTTGAGTGGACTCATTTCCAGAACATGGAGAATTCATGAATTGCATTCTCTCTCCTGTCCTGTTCATCTTGTACATGGATAGGATCTGCAGATATAGCCTGAGTCTCAACAGTCAGCAATGGTGATGTTGAGGTAAAGTAGTGGTAAAGATACTGTTCTTTACCAATGATGCCATTCTTTTGTCCTGGTTTTCAAAGGAGCTTCAGAGCATGCATGATCAGTCCAACTCAGAGTTTACTGTTGTCTGTTGAGTGTCCCCAAAACACCAGTAAAGGCTCTCTCAGACAGTCCTGGACTGCCTTACATGTAAGGAGGTCCCCACTGGACCAAGTGAAGTGCAAATACCTTGATCTGCTGTGGAGTGATGAGTGATGCAGAAATGAGATTGACAGCTGCATCACCAGGGCATCTGCAGTTTTGCAGGAATTTTGGACAACTGTGGTTGCCAAATCTGACATTTCTGAGGAGGTGAAACTTTTGGTTTTTTATGAGTATTTACTTTACCACCCTCACCTATATTCATAAACAGAGGGTGATGACTGAAAGGATGAGGGCAACAGCTACAAGCTGCCTAAATGAGGTTCTTGTGGTGGGTGATGAGTGATAGGTATTGTGAAAGGATGCTAGGTGCTGCCATCCTTGAGAACCTTCAGCTTGAGCCACTACTTCTTAGGATTGAAAACTCCCTAGCCCTTTGGTTTGGATGTGTCTCCTGCATGCCCCCCAAGAGACTCCTGAAAAGTCTTATTTTCCAAAATTTAGGCTTTGTGTGAGATGAACCAACCATATTGCAATTCTTTGTCACAAGAGACTCAGTATCTACCTGTTGCTACTGAGCTTGAGTCCATTGCCCAAGATCATAAGCACTGGAAGATTCCTCTGGCCTGCTTAGTTGGTGACCCCATTATGTTGGAATAAGCAGCTTTGAAAATATTTTTATAAATTCAGAATAGAATAAGGTAGTGTTAAGGAAAGTGAAATATTACAGTTGTATCTCGTGGTTGTGCCAGATGACTTTGTTTTGAGTTACTTCTTCATTACATGTCTCCAAATGCATCTGGGCTGGTCCTAGAAGTAAATTACTGCTGAAAATTTGGAGAGGGAGGCAAGATTCAGGAAAAAATGAATTTTTTGGTGCATCCCTTGAAAAGTGCTAAATCTACTTTTCTAACGTCATATGTGGGCATGAGAAAGTCAAATATTGAATATAAATTCTCATATAACATTAGAACTTCAAATTGCTTCAAGGGTAACAGGAATGAAAGTATGAAAGAGCTTGCTTTTTCATCCTTCACAATTACCATAACTTCTTTACCATACTTTACAATTACCACAACAATAATTTCTGACAGGAAGTAAAAAGTGGATATTTAGATACAATGGGGCAACTGAGTTGCAGATGCCTCTACACTGGTATTGCCTGCCCATCCTTTCAGAGTTGGAAAAAAAAGCTGCTACCATCTTTGCCTCCCAAAAATGTAGCCAATGGTTCCTGCATTCACAACCACACATCCCAGTTTGCATGGAAATGAGAGACATTATGGTACAAATGACAAAGCTATTGTTCCCATGACAGGGGCTGCCATGTTTCAATGTCATTTTGTTGGATATGCATATCTTGAAGTCTAATATCCAGCAGGCCTGTCTCATTTGCCTTCCCAATTGTCACCTTTGACTTCCATGCAGGGCTAAATATTATTTGAGTTTCTGTGTGGAATTTGACTCTCTTGCTTCATTATTAGGCTTGGAAAACATACAATACTTGCTCCCAATAACATTTATTCTTCATGACCTGACATAAAATTTCATCAATAAGGTGAACTTAAATAATGATGTCATGTTGAAATGCGTATGTGCATATGCTTGAATATCTCTGCATGTGGAGCTGTGCATAGCGGAAATATAACTCAAAGGCAGTCATCTGGCATGAGCATGAGATATGACTGTCACATCTGACTTGCTCTAAAACCCCAAGTCCAACATATCCAGATCAGGAACACATTAGAATTTCCTTGTTGCATTAGACTTTGAAAACCTCTCATTTCTGCATGTTTAGTGTGTCATGTGTTTTCTCAAGTTGTGGAGAACATGTAATTAAACATCCCTCATCTCCTGTGCTATGAGGTGGGTTGGCTGTACTCTCCTCAGAGCAGCTGTAAATTTTTGTAAGACCTCCTCCCAGCTGGTGATGTGGTAGAAAGGATGTCCTTATTCAGGAAGTAGGCTCCAGTCACTGACTTGGGAGAGTAGTAGAGAGGTTTTTCTGGATGCCCTCTGAGGCAGAGCAGTAGTTTCAGTAATAATTCCATCCTGGATGGCTCTTCCACTTGGTTCAATCACTTCACATGGCTTAACCACCTCCAGCCTTGCCCATGCAATGGCCATGTCCCTAATGCCATTCCTTTCCAGATTGTTCGTGCAATTCCCATCAATGGTTTTAAGTATCCCAATTTGTTGTTCATTGTGTCCATTTCTCATGGATTCTCAAACAAGAAATTATTAATATATCCACAAAGGCCTTGTTAAAAAAAGTTCCCAATCATTCACAAAACTCTGTCTAATGTGTTTCAAATGTAATTTTAAAAATTGAATGAATTGAAGTGGTAAACCAAAAACACAGCTAAGAGATTATCCTATTGAAAAAAATAAAGACTGTACCTTACAAATTTTTTTTGAGTGGATATGATTGTTTCTTTTCATTTGTTGCTTGAAATTTCATGTTGCAATCATGGTAAATTCTATATAATTGGAAAACCCTCATCTTCTCCCTTGGTTCAATTTGCAATACATGAGGACTTATAGGAGTTCTTATAAGCCAATTGGGGGAAGCTAGTAGGATCCGTCCCATTTGCTGTTTCTCCACTATTCAGTTGTTTTTTTAAATTGTTGGAATGGCATATATCTGGATTTGATGACTGCCTATGGAACTAACATTTATTGCCTTCTGCAACTGAATTGCTGAGATTTTTCATTGTTAGGTATTCTCTTTGTATTTCATGGAACATGCCAGCACAATCATGAATTGCAACCTGATTTGGAATTAGGAGCTCATCATGTCAATGACTTTATGGCTGACTACATGTGATTCACGAAGTGAATAATGGCTTTAATAATACCTGGAATCTGAACTGAAACGAATACGTTTCAAGGGAAAGAATCATGTATTGGAAGCTGTCTAGGTAAAACTGAGTCAGCTTTCAAAGAATATTGGATTGTGGATTATATTTGCAAAATGTATGAAGAGATGGGGCCTTTGCTAGGAATTTGGTGATTGATAGAAAAGTTAGAATTTTTAGTTTTACAAAATCACTAATGAAGTGATGGGAAGGTAGTATTGTGAAAGTAAACAGCCTTTGTACATGTGCCTGTATAATAATTTTTTTTCAGATCTTGTCATGAAAACTCCGCATCATCTCAGAGTTCTGATTCAATCCCCATTGGGGTTGCACGGCATGATCCAAACTACAAGATGGACCACCTCCTGCGAGGCAAAGCACTTGTGTTCAATCATGAATTTTTCTGCAAATACTTAAAGCTGCCAGACCGTGAGGGAACTATACAAGATCGGGATCGACTTGTTCATGCCTTGGGACATTTGGGTTTTCAGGTTGAGGTATACAACAATAAGCCATTTCAATACATCATGAAAGTCATCAAAAAAGGTATGTATTATCATTTCTGGTTGATCAGATGCCCATCTTTTTATGTTTAATTTTGTCATTCCTATTTGGAGTTCCCATATCAAAGTTCTATATCAAAATACTGTTGCAAATTGTTTTCTTCTTTTTGAGCTCCTTTGGTTTAGCCTTTGCTCTCAGTATTCAACTGATGAGGGTAGCACTGCTCAAAAAGCTTAAGTGTGATCCATGTTGCAGCATACTATCATATAGTGAATGCAAAAATTATATAAAATTGAAAAAGTTTAGCCCTATGAGACTGATGAAGTCATTCCAGGTTGTTCCAGATCTAATCTGGCAAATATATGGTTTATTTCCCTTAGAGTATGTATTAGCTTGTCAAAAAACTCTGCTGTAGACCTAACCCTTACATGCATACATTTTTAAAACATAACAAAAATGTTTTTATTGGTTTAATGTTTAAGGTGGAACTCTGCCATAGTAGTTGCATGTTTCTCTGTGAGGAGGCGATGCTGAATAGTTAATGTGTACTGAGGCTGAAAGTTATCATCATAGCCAAAATCACACCATCCACCACAGTGGATATCATGCACAAAAGGCTTAAAGGGAATGGTACATACTAATACAAAAGGTTGAGAAAGTGATGTTTTATTTATGCATTGTTGAAGTTGTGACTCCATAGCCTTCTCTTGATCTTAGGTAAAGAGGGGGAAAATCATATGCAGCAACTTCTCCATCAGTGTCCTCTGCATGTCATTCTTTCATTTATTTATTTATAAGACTGTCCATCCTTCCTTATTGGTGTCACAATTGAAGCAGGCACAAGATCATTGAAGAATGTTTCCAGTCTAAGGCCATGGAATCAAGCTCAACACACAGGATGCTGAGCCTCTTATGGCAAAGCTTTCATCTTACACAACTCTTTCAGACTGAACTTTTACTTGTCATCTTAGACTGAGAGACATTTTAGGAGGCATGCAGATGTGTCCAAGCCACTGCACTTGAGGTCTCTCCATCTATAGATGTAGCTGCTTGACCTAGGAGCTGTCATTGATGGTAGCACTGAACATCTTAAATTTGCTCATAACACTGGTCACCAGGTGTGAGAACTTCATTTAACTTTTAAATGAGGTTCTCACACCCCCCAAAGCACATGCTGACCCCTTTGGTTCTCCCTACTTCTCTTTTGATTCTGGTGGTGAATTAAAACCTCATGGTGCTCACTCCATCACAACAGTCACATTGCCCCTTTTGATTAGCTTCTGTAATTGCTACCTTGGCTCAGAACTTATCCTGAGACAGTATTGATAGGTAGATGGCATCTGTGGAAACATGAATCACCTGAGCCAAGCTCATCTTGTTTGTTTTTGGTGTGTCTTGGTCATGCTCAAAGAGGACCCTTTTATTGTGGTAGAACCTGGGATACCTTGACCTTCTGGGTCACTGGAGTTCATCTCAATGCTATGCCATGAATTCCCTTATTTTTAGATTATATTATTATTATAAGATAAATGAATTTCAAATAACTTGCCAACCAATTCCTATTTGCTGGCAAATAAGCAAAAATTAAGAAATCATACATATTTACATAGGTCTGCTTCATGTTCTAGCATGTCTGAATTCATACCAGACTTTCTCACTGTCTGTTGTTAGCCAAATATTGCATTCACATGTTAGTGTCTTTTTGTGGAAATATATCTACTCAAATGTGTGCAAACAAAATACCTCTGAAATTTGATTACCTCTTCGGATTACATGATGATTATGAAATTTTCTCTCAACTGCACTGTGTATTCTGTTTTTTGTTGTTTTCACTCTCAGTTGCTGATGATGACCATCAACAATGTGATTGCCTTGTGGTATGCTTCATGAGCCATGGTGAAAATGGCATGGTTTATGCCTATGATCAACTGTTTAAGCCAGAGCACCTTTGGTCACCCTTCACTGCTGACTGTTGTCCCTCCTTGGCTGGAAAACCCAAGATGTTCTTCATTCAGGTAAACTATTGTCATGCCAAAAAGCAGCATTTCCTTCTTTCTCCAGTTCTGCTCCTTCAGTGAAAGTTGGACGGTCAGAACATAAGAACAATTGGCACCATGTGCTGTCCTCTAAGCTGAAGTCAAATGAAAGCCACACTTCAGTTGCTTTAAACTTTGATTTCCTGATGTTAAATTTGCCAAGTGAATGTTTTTCCTAATTTTCATATCATATTTTAAATCTTAATTTGTCTCATAGAAGGCCAAATGGCAATTTACTGATTTTTTAATCTGCAATCTCATCAGTATGTTTTATTATCTTGTACATTGTGGATGCCATTTTCATTATAGTCTTTTTACAATTCTGGTTTTTTCTAGGCTTGTAGAGGGACTAATGTGGATCATGGTGTGACTGTAACCCAGACAACAACTAGCTCCATTCAGGTGGACTCCATCTTGGAACCGGACTCTTACCGAATCCCTGTTCAGGGCGACTATCTCATAGCACACTCAACTGTCCCAGGCATGTTGCTTGCCTCAATTGAGTAGTTCTCTGGAAAAAGGGCATTAGTGCCCAAATGCACTTTTTCTTTATCCATGCTTATGCTCTGCTTTAGGACACTTGCAATGGGATAGAGTGATTGAGGTGGTTCAGATTTGTTTGTAAGAACAGAAAATAAACTTTCTCCATGCTCTTACCAGATGGTGGACAGATGCCCTGCTGTCTTGTTATGGCTGCTTGTAGGGAGGAAAGGGGAAGAAGGACTGGTCATACAGACCTATGGAAGAATGTCTTGAAGAAAGGAAAAGGGAATGGTGGTCATGCTCATATGGGGAGGACATGGACTGTCATGAAAATTTGAGGAAATTTCTTTCTGTCTTTCTTTTGGGGAAGAATATTTATAAACATAGGTTTCATTAATTTGTTTATTATTTTTTAAAATGATAAATGACAGCTGAAAGATGGTTGAAATAGTTCTGACAGTGTGAGTATGGAAAAGGGCATATCTACATAAACAGTTCCTACTTGCATTCCAGCAACTTGTGAGAAAAATTTACTTTAACCCATCCACCTACCTTTCCTTTTGGTGTATGTACCCATAAAATACCATTTAAGGCCCTAAGGCTTTAGGTTTAGGCCTTGTGTGCCATCTTTTGGCAATATCTTTGAACCGCTTGCAACTGTAATTGATCAAACAGAACTCTGCACAGGACCATTGAAACGACAGTTAGGTAGGCCAAGAGACAGTAAACTTAGGTCATCAATTTGACGGCTGGACAGGCAGATGGGTTAAGCACAAAGTTTAAGAATAAGGAGCATCTTAGGAAACCATATCACTGAAAATGGATTCAGATTGATCACAGGTCTGAGATTTTGCTGCTTTTCTCAAATTGTGCCTTTTGTATGTAAGCCCTTTTTCCAGAAATCTCCTTTATTTAGCAACATCAATTGTTTCTTTTGTAATTATTAATCCCAGGCACATCACTTGCTTTACTTCATTGCAGGGTGCTATTCATACCGCAATTCAACTGTTGGGTCCTGGTTCATTCAGTCACTTTGTGCTGTCCTCATGCAACATTCCCAAAAGGAAGACCTGATGAGCATGTTGACAGAAGTAGCACGTAAAGTAGCAATTGAGTATGAATCCCACATCCCAGAACAACCAGCCTTGCACAGGAAGAAGCAGGTGCCCACCATCGCAACTACTCTCATCCGCAAAGTGTTCTTCACTCCCAAGTCAAGGGGCACCATTATTCCCTCTGCCATGCCATGAACCTCAGGTGTTGCAGATATCAGTCCACAATATCATTGGGTGAGAATCATGTTTTATGTCTAGATTTGAGATTTTTAAGAATAGCATATTTATGAAACTTTCACATCAGTGCATTTATTTTTTGGCATAGGTTGTCAGATGTTATTTTCAGGATCTGTGAATGTAATATGCAACTTTGCAAACTTATTATATCAGTTGTTTTGAGGTTGTACACTCCAGTGATGTAAATGTACCTCAAAATTTCAGTTTTGTACTTAAAACAATGAAGTTATCCCTTGATATCTCCCATGTGGAGAGGTCTGAGAGATTCTAGAATTTGTATGAAGTGCCTTTATGCTGTGGCCATGTGACTGACTTGGAGATTCCTCAAGAAGGGATATTGGTGATGTATTATAGACAATATTTTCAATCTATGCACCATAATTTTTTTTTTAAGCCTGAATGGCTAAAAGAAAGAGTTGCCTGAGGTGCTCTGTTTTGAAGTGAATCAGAAATACTTACTTAGGGAATTCAGGTAGGTTTCATGTGAAACAATGAAAGGCATTTGCTCAATCACACTTCTTTCTTATGTACGAGACATGACATACTTTGCTCAAGTGCATTCACATTTCACATAACAATATTGGAAAATGTTTGCTCAAATGCAGTGTTTTTGCATAGAAATTTTCACTTTGGCAATTCATGTTCACATTGCATGGCATGATTCTATTCAGAGAAATTAAAAATTACTGTAATACCATATTTACTTGCATAAGCCCTACACCTTTTCTCCTGAAATTTCAGCTCTAAAATTGTTTGTGGGTGGTACATGGAGAATATCTTTTTATATTGGTAAAAGCCAGGTTTTTATGGGTTCAATACAAATGGCAAATATGGTACTCAGTGTATTCTTAATTGTTCACTGACCCATTTCCTCATGTTGACTCAGCTGTGCACAGCAATCCTTCTTATTTCTGAGTCCCTCAATGGTAGGCCTTTAGTTTGGTACCAACACACCAAATGGAATCAATGACATGACCTTCTGAGAAGGTCATAGTTTTATGTTTTCTGGCAAGTAGCCCTTTGGTCAAAATACTTCTGGCTCAGCTGTGATGATGCACTGATTTTTGGCAAGGTGAGCTTGGGAAACCAGAAACTCATTCCTTTACTGAAATGATAAAGTTACAGGTGACACTATTTGCAGAGGCACATGGACATTGGCAGGTGGGACAATATATGGTGGCAATGAATCGTGTGTTCATGATTAGTGAAAAAAGTGATCAACTTCAAAGCTAACTGCAGGAGACATGCCTTTTGTTGACCAAAGACTGGAGCATTTGCAAAAATCAAAGAATTGGTGGTCTGCATTCACGAAAAGTGGAATAGTGCATATTGTGTCTCAACTAAGATATTGCAGTCTTGAGAATTACAAAGAAGAATGTGGGAACTATGGTGTAGGATATTAAGATTTTCTCCAATTTAGGAATAAAAGTACCAGTATGATAATGTAGTATTGTATTTCCTCTAGTTTCCTATTGGAATTGATAGTGCGATCCAAACAAGTGCTGATTGCAACCTTATTGGATATGTGCTCACAGACTCAATCCTTCAGCACACAGGTGGTTTCCCCATATGCTGGAGTTTTCTGGAAGATTGTTCTGCTGACAGGGCTATTCCTGTGAAACAGACAGCTGTAGTTTTGCACCTGATACTGCCTGAATTTCTCTGAACAATCCATGGGAACTAATTTTAAAAAGGTATTTACCCATGTGGGTGATATGAAAATGTTTTTTTCCTCATTAGGTTGGTGCTGAAAATAAGGGCACGAGGGAGGGGCTTATGCATGTAAATTAAGTATCATGATCTCTGCAGACCAGTTTGTTTAGGTAGTTTAGGTTCTTGCTTTATATACTTTCGTGTGTTTTTGATTGTGCTCATTGCTTTGAATATTTGCTGTTTGCCTTCATTAACTGTTTTCTTGCAAGATTTTCTAATCCAGTCCAGATATATTTGTCTTGATTGTGATGAATTTGGTGATAGTTCCTTTCATAGACCAAGGGTGGATTTTTGAACAGAGTCCAATAATGCAGCTATATGCCAGGAAAATTACATGATACTTCCTGGATATAAAGCAGCAATATCAGATAGTTCTCTGTTCAAAAATCCATCCTAATTTTTTTTTAGTCAACATGGATAAATGCATTGTGATCTATCTCTTGACTATCTGATTTGATAGTGATTCCCTGTTTTTCACTTTTTGCTGTTGAAGATGATACACATTGATGCCTTTTCAATACAAAAAGATAATAGAGGTAAATGTTGATTTATTGATTTGAGAGTAAAAAATACACATTGTATAAAAAGAGGGAGATCAGACCAGATACATCGCTTCAGGTTTCTAAGCTGGGTTTAGGACGGAATGACAGGTATCACGACTGGGTCATTGGATGGATGTTTTCCTTTCCCTCTCATCTTCTCCATACTAGGAAGAGTAGAGAGGCAAGAGCCAGGGCTCCAGACAAGTGGTAAGAAGAAGCCACATTGCAGCCATCTGTGCTGCAATAGCACTCCTCCCAATAGACACTGTTCTCATCGATTCCCCAGTTGCAAACTCCAGTGACTCCCGTTTCAGACACTGAGCCGCAGCGTCTTATCACCTGTCTCCATCGACCATCCCCTGAAAAATATCAATATTCTCTGATGTTATTGACTTTTGATTTCATTGGGTATACAACATAAATGATGAAAATAGCAAATGCAACATTATATATCTCAGATAAGCAAGAATATGCCTTTTTATACCAAGGGGCAAAGAATCTCAGCTCCCAGGTGCAAAGGTAAATTTGGCAGAGTGGGTCAAAAAAAAACCTATCATTTTTGGTAAGTTGGTAGGCTGGCAATTCTGATGAAATTCAGTAGGCAAATAGGGTGACTCAATTGGGGTTTGTGTGCCAAATTTTTAACAAAAAATTTCAAATTTGAGAAAGGCATTTCATTAACTTTTCATCACAAAAAAGTAAGTGTTCATTTTTACTTAAAACTACTCATAACTAACAAAACAAACAAGCAAACAGAACAAAAACAAAATTCACAATTGCAAAAAAAATTAAAGTACACAATTTGGTTTAGGTAGGTTCATTTCAACAGTGCTCAATGTGCCCTCCATTCTGTTGAACACTAGCCATTTGTCTGGGACGCCATAGATCAATGGCTCGGTCAATAATTATTTGATGCAGTACCTTCCAATCTTTCTCTATTGGCATCATGTAGGAATGGAAGGTCATGAATTCACTCTCCCTTTCATCCCAGCCTCAGGTTCACATTGATATTTTTGACACCAAGTTTTGTTGCAGGTCATCAGGAAATAAGTAAAGCTCCTATATTTAAAAAGCCAGAAAGCGATATTTGGCAACAAAACTCCAATTGAGTCCAATAAGCCTACCAAATTTAATCAGAATTGGAAGGATACAATGAGATTGACAACTCATCAAAAATGACAGCTTTGTTTTTTTGGCCCACCCTGTAATTTTTCAGACTAAAAGAAGTAATAGCCTTTCTAGAAAAATGTAAAAATTGCACAAAATCCCACTGTCACATCTTTAAAGATGATCTGACATAGGTAACAAATTATAGGATTAGTATTAGAATATTGAATTTCTATATAATTACATTCCCAAAATAAAATTGTGTAAATCTTGCCAACAATAGGTACATTTTCAATACTTCTTAATAATCTATCTGAGTAGCAATGTGCTGGTACCAACAGAAGGAAAGGCAATGTTGGGCTAAAATTTTTTCAAAATACTGAGTCAATGATACTACAGTGTTTTTTCACTTGAGTTATACATTTTTTCACTTGACTTCAACAACAGTGCATGGTGAGGGTGATTGGCGGTTTGAGGCAGAAACTAGGAGTTCCATTCTTAAGTGCAGATGTCGAGATGACATTGGTGACGATGATGAATAATTTCATGCTGAAGAGAGGAAAACCAATATGAACCTTCCCAAATACACAGTATATTGAAATAATAATGTTGTAGTGAAAAACTAGGCTTTTGTGTCACCCAATACTGATTTCCTTAATAATAGGTCAATAAAACAGGTGAAGTTTTAAGTATCATTCCCCACTCCGAACTCACATAAGCTTGATTAGGCCTATCTAACGTGGATCTGGGATTGTCTATCGAAGTCTGATCCAGTGTTTCTACATCATTGAGCCGATGGGAAATTGAAAACTTAAAGCCTTTTTTATTTAAATAGACGGCAAGGAAGGTCTCCCATTGACAACGTGACTATGCTTGTGGTTCATCGTTTCCAGTACATAGTTTGATTCTTAAGAAAAAGCCTAATTATTCAAAGGAGAGAAAAATGTCGATAGTCACCAGGGGTACCAGCACCTTTGCCTCCTCTCTGAACACCCCATGCATCGGTGTCTTAGTCAAGTGAAAAACACTGTAAAGTCTGCATTTGTTTTGAATGGGGTAATATTTCATGCATGGCTCACAAACAGGAAAATTTTAGTTTTTATGCCAGTGCACTTGCATGCTAAGTATTATAAATATAGTGCATAGAGGTATAAATATTATATTTGTATCTGATGAGGGGTGTAAAAAAAAAAAGGCTATCAGCCAGCACAGTTGGTAGTCTCAACATTGACCTTGGTGATGCTAACTTGGTAAACATAGATCCTCTGAACAACTCTCATGGCATCTTCTTACCTTCTTAATTTTTGGGCTTCTCTTCTTGAAGGGAAGCAGTTTGGCCATGGGAACCATGTTATTCCCATGAATGTTAGTTCTTGCTTCTTTGAATCATCAACGTGCACCATAAATTTTGGATATCAATGCAATGTCCATGCAAGCAGCACAAGTTTCATGTGGAGAATTCAAAGCAAAATCCTCAAGCATTCTTTTATCTTATCACTCTGCTATACAGAAGGATTTGAAAAATCCTCTAAGCCCCCAAGATTTGATGCTGAGATTCCCTTCATGAGGGAATTGAGTTGCAAAAAACACAAGCCAGCCAGTCAATATTGGGCCTACTAAATCATCACTTTCTTCATGCCCAATTACTTCACCACAAAGAAGAATACATTAGTTCTTGCAATAAGTAGTTTTGAAGAGTACTGGCAGAGCCCTAATCATGAGCAGTCAGGAGTGGAATCTCTAACCTGTCTGCCAATGTGTCACCCTACTTGTAAGGTGATTCAGGTTGGTAGGCTATGGATTGCAATTTCACACACACCAAAATGTCCTTGGGAATGACTGAATAATGAATAACTGCTCACAAATAAATCCTCTGGGTCCCTGTTTGGTGACCGTCATGCAAAACGTGCCAGGTGTGACAGAATCCCCACTGTTGCATTCAACAAGTGTGTTTTTGGTGGTGTCATAATGTCTGTAGGCTCCACATGTGTCCTCTCCTTCTCCATCTTCAGATGATGAGCACTGGTAACATCGAATCCCTTCAGATCCTGAGAGGAAAAATGAATACATTTAAGGTTAGAGGATACATGTTTCAGCTGACATACTTGGGTGGGGACTACAGCGTTTTTGCGCAGAGTTCACACAACCTTTTAATGCAAAGCATAGCTTTCTATGGGCCTACCGACACCAGAACTAATGTTTCCGTTGGTCTTACGTATGACGCAAACTAAGAAGTTTGTGTCATACGTTCGTACGTCTAGAACTCTACTGGTATTCAGGAGTCGAAATATAAGACGTGCCATTGCTCTGAAGGAGATGTGTGAACTTCTCGCGAAAGCACTGTAGCTAGTATTCCAGTCAGAGTCAGGTCTCTTGCATTTGGTATTGTAATTTACGCTTAACGTTACTGTTGCGACACAACGTAGCCCAAAGCTTCGCCTATTGGGCCTAACGATAGGTATTAGTAGAGATGCGAAGGGGCAGGCCATCCACATTATCCATATATTCGAATGTAAATATATAGCTTAAATTAAGCTAGACCTAACGCATAAAAACCTACCTCGAAGGAGGAGTATCCACAGAGCCAGAAATCCCGAGAACCAGTGAGGCGCCATCTTTACCGTCTTTCGCCATCTAGGAGAAAATGTGGGAACCGTTCGATAGGTGTGCCAGCCAACGACGAGGCTGAATTTAGCTGTCTCCCTTCCAAGGCCATCGTCTATAACGACCGCGCAATGGTCTTTGCGCGCACAACGTGTGCGGACTAGTTATCCACCATAGATCCTTCTGTGGTAGGCAGAATCACAGGCAGTGCCATGCACTAGAAGCTAAACTGCGATGTTTTAGTCGTGATTTTTGTTTCCTTCGACACTGTCATATACTGTACCTATGGCGTGCTGCGTCATGGATTTGATCTTACCTTTATGCAGAAAGAATTTTAATATTTCGAAGTACAGGCAGAAAAGTTTACTTGTTGCTTTTGGCATAGTACTTTTATCCCACATTAGCTGAAGGAAACAGATTCATGCATCTCAATAAATTTGAACCCACCCTTCAAATGGTTCAAAATTATTCACCAATATGGCAGTGAAAACTTATAAATAAACACAAAAGGCAGACTCAGCCTTTCAAACTGCCCAAGAGTTAGTAGCATCACCATTCATAACTTCATATGCATTATACTTGAATTTTAAATGATGACTTAAGCTTTGTATATGAAGAAAAAATTATAATGGCGACTTGCACATATGCATGGTTAAGTTCATGAAACACCAATCACTTTTCAAAATACCTGATATATTTCATTCAGGAAAATTGGTCTAAAAGTGATGCCACATGTAAAAAACTGCCAATACTAAAAAATAGTAAACCATGATATATGAGATCAGTAATAGAATGGGGGATGCATCAAGTCAACATTGGACACAATGAGATTCACAACAACAAAAAATATTTGAAAGCNAGGCTCCACATGTGTCCTCTCCTTCTCCATCTTCAGATGATGAGCACTGGTAACATCGAATCCCTTCAGATCCTGAGAGGAAAAATGAATACATTTAAGGTTAGAGGATACATGTTTCAGCTGACATGCTTGGGTGGGGACTACAGCGTTTTTCCACAGAGTTCACACAACCTTTTAATGCAAAGCATAGCTTTCTATGGGCCTACCAGAACTAACCTTACCGTTGGTCTTACGTATGACGCAAACTAAGAAGTTTGTGTCATACGTTCGTACGTCTAGAACTCTACTGGTACTCAGTAGAAGTCACCAGAGTCGAAATATAAGACGTGCCATTGCTCTGAAGGAGATGTGTGAACTTCTCGCGAAAGCACTGTAGATAGTATTCCAGTCAGTCAGAGTCAGGTCTCTTGCATTTGGTATTGTAATTTACGCTTAACGTTACTGTTGCGACACAACGTAGCCCAAAGCTTCGCCTATCTGGGCCTAACGATAGGTATTAGTAGAGATGCGAAGGGGCAGGCCATCCACATTATTCATATATTCGAATATCTTATATATCGAATTTAATTCGATCTGGATTGCGTATTTTTGGATGGAGCTTCCTCCTCATAGGTGTCTCGGTCTTTAGGGCTCTTGGTCACTCCGCGGTAGAAATGGCAGAAAGCGGTAGATCCTCTAAATGTGGGAACCGTTCGATAGGTGTGCCAGCCAACGACGAGGCTGAATTTAGCTGTCTCCCTTCCAAGGCCATCGTCTATAACGACCGCGCAATGGTCTTTGCGCGCACAACGTGTGCGGACTAGTTATCCACCATAGATCCTTCTGTGGTAGGCAGAATCACAGGCAGTGCCATGCACTAGAAGCTAAACTGCGATGTTTTAGTCGTGATTTTTGTTTCCTTCGACACTGTCATATACTGTACCTATGGCGTGCTGCGTCATGGATTTGATCTTACCTTTATGCAGAAAGAATTTTAATATTTCGAAGTACAGGCAGAAAAGTTTACTTGTTGCTTTTGGCATAGTACTTTTATCCCACATTAGCTGAAGGAAACAGATTCATGCATCTCAATAAATTTGAACCCACCCTTCAAATGGTTCAAAATTATTCACCAATATGGCAGTGAAAACTTATAAATAAACACAAAAGGCAGACTCAGCCTTTCAAACTGCCCAAGAGTTAGTAGCATCACCATTCATAACTTCATATGCATTATACTTGAATTTTAAATGATGACTTAAGCTTTGTATATGAAGAAAAAATTATAATGGCAACTTGCACATATGCATGGTTAAGTTCATGAAACACCAATCACTTTTCAAAATACCTGATATATTTCATTCAGGAAAATTGGTCTAAAAGTGTACGGTGTACATTTTTTGACGGTTATGATTTTTTATCATTTGGTACTATATACTCTAGTCATTATCTTACCCCCTACGTAGTTCAGTTGTAACCTGTGTTACTCTAAGTGTTGTTGTTTTTTATAAAAAAAGCTGGGACGAAGGAAGATGAAAGATCAGCATCGAGGACGGAATAACTGCCATAAAACTGGACGGAATGGAGAAAAGAACACTGAGTTGGGTATGACTTAGAGGCGGATATGAGCTATTCGAAACACCAGGCCGGTGACAAGGGGAACAATGACAATTGGAGCAGCATGAGACTGAGGGGCAGAGTTGCAACCATCCTTTCCCCTACAGGTGCAGTACTCCATGTGAATGTTCCAGGTCCCTGATCGGAAGATGCAGTAGCGCTCATCCCCGTCCAGGCCTGGTTCACCCAGATATGCACAGCTACGGTGGAATCTCCACACTCCATTCACTGCGAGACATAACATACAAAATCGATTTCAGCAATGCAATGATACAACCAACTTATAATTAATTCTTCTTAGTTGCCCATGTCCCAATATTCTGCCTATGGCTTGTCTGCCATTTTATTTTTTTTAATTATGCACACTATCTCAGATTTCTTCAACATCCACTTCTTTCTCTTTTTTTCCTTAATGTCACAATTCTAACATGCCAAAATACAAAGATAGAAAGGGTATTGCACACAATTGATATTGGCTAAGACCTTCCTGAGACTAACTGGAACGGTTCAGAGGGCTAGGAATGCACCAGCAAGTGATGCTATGACCAGGACCAGGGCAGAACCCAATGTAGTAGCTATGTTGCAGCCATCATGTTCACATGAACACACAGTTGTGTGGATATCTTCAGTGGCCGTTTTGTAGCATATTCTTTCTTTGATGTAGTATTTTTCCCAACCACAGCTTCGGAAGACAGCAATGTCTCCTCTCACTACATCCAAGACATCAATGTCAGTAAAGAAACATGACAGAAAGTTTCAACATGTAACATGAAAGGAATATGTATCCTTACCCTCTTGCCAGATCTTCCTACATGCAAAAGTAATATTCTTGGAAGGAGGTAGTCCAGTCTTCTCAGTGAAGTCTTTTTCAGTGCAATCTGAGAGGTGTCCCTCTGCATTTTTATGATTAAATGGGTCTTCACAGTACTCATCATCTCTGGTATTGCACTTATAACACTGGATTGCAAAAGCTGAAATAAGAACCAACTGAATAAATAAAAACCTATATCGTATGAAGGTAGGCATGTCTAATTCTAGCTAAATTTAATTCTTGACAACTGGCTATATCCTAAGCAATCCCCATTACCTTTCCCCACTCCTACAGTGATCTTTCTCATAAAGCACCTAACTATTCGGCAATAAATTGTATTCAAAAGAATTGTAATGAGAGAAAAAAAAAGTAAAAACGCGAGGGCCCAAGCAGCGATCGAACACGTAAGTTCGGTCATTAACATACAAATCGTAAGTCATTACACTGTCGGCCCCTTGATCTCCTGAGTAGGGCAAGCAGTAGGGGTTTGACGGGGATGGTAGCTATGCTGCGTTGAATATAGCCACTAACGCCCCACACAATCCAAATCTATATTGAGAAAAAGACTCACCAATAGACACCAGGTCAACGACAAAGAAGATGGCGAGCAAGTGCTTCATTTTGCGCAATTCCGAAGGTATGGGCGACAAAGAGGAGAAAGGTCGAAAGAAATGGATGTGGAAAAGCCACCAAACAAGAGACACGTTCTGACCGACACCACCCACTCAGCCTTCCTCCGTCGATGTGAGTATCACTATAGGCACCACTCCCAGTTGCTCTCAATGCCGTCCCACACGGCTGTTCGATTGCCGAGTTCCATTATTTGACTTAGATTTCCCAAATCGTACTTTATCTGTTATCTTTCTCTACCAAAATGCCTTTTCCATTCAATTTCTACATCTGTTATTCTTTAATACTCCAAATTTTCCAATTTTGTGATTGAATCTGAGAATAAGTTCATGGGAAATTCCCATGTCGCTTTGCATCCCTTCTCCCACTGGAATTCCATCATGGCTCCGTTCGAATATGCATGAGGAGCATGACGGACCTGTAGAGACTGCTACCATGAGAATCTCGAGCTTTCTCAGTTTCTGATTTTATTACCTCTCATCTGCGCTTGAAATCCTTTTCATTCAATATGCTGCCATCATGGGCGATATTTCTGACTCTGACGGGTGCCACAATTTTCTTCCTTCCAATGAGTGAGTCGATTTATTAAGTCGGCTACTCTTTTTTACTTAAGTTTAAAGTTAACTTTAAACTAGGCCTATCAATCCCTGTGGTGCTCAATCAAGTCTTAGCATGTACCTAGGCCTACGACGGAACCGGAAATTATGACAAAAATTAACCCTCAATTGCAGGCTGGAGTATAAAGTGCTGGGAATGCCGGTCAGACCAAGATCCGAAGTGCGGAGACCCATTTGATAACACCTCGTATCCCATCACGGATTGTGCTACCAAACCTCAGAGGCCTCATCTGCCAGGAATCGAATCCACAATGTGCCGAAAAATACGGCAAAAAGGTTTGATATGCCGAAAAATATATATTCATATTGAATCCTGCCTATTGCCCAAGTCAGTAGGTGTATGTGTTCCCCATAGACTCTGAGGTAGGCCTAAGAAAAAAAGTGAGGAGATAAGGCTGGAATGAGATGAGCCAAGTGAACCCTTAAATTTTACCCTCTTAGTTGTGTATTCTTAGGTTGCCAGTTGCCTGTTGTGTTTCACATAGCATAATAGGCTTGTTCCAATAAAAGTTGCTCTTGGTGAAGTGAAGGAAAAGGCAAATTAGAAATTCCATGAGGATCATTCCTCTCAGTACCAATTGGGAATAAACTTCCAGTGAGCTAGGGTGTATGAACAGCTTTGTTATTTCATTTATTGTATGCTTTGATCTACAAAGTGTAAACCCTATCTGCTTACTCACTGTCAAAAATGATATGGAAGTTTTTTGTTCAGCTTTATGTTGTGCAAGTGATGAGTATTGTTTGCACTTTTGTGTAGAAGATCCTGTAAGCATTTTTAAGAGAAAAAAAGAGGCAAGGTTTTGCCATTACTCATGAATGGACTTGTGCAGTGATTGTAGTAATTTTTTTTCCTGTAAGCCTAATGTGATCTTTGTGGGGAAGAATGTAATTGAGTCAGAGCATATTAGAGTTTCTTTTAATTTACCTGAATATTTGGCTTAAAATATTTAGGATGGCATACTTGGCCTTTTTTCTTTTTTTTAACTAAAAGGTCTTGAGATGGCCAGATGAGCCTTAATATTGATTTGGTTTAGGCTTGGGCAAGAGCATTTCAAATGTTTTTTCACATGTTTGAAAAGCATTGATTGGTTTGATCCTTTTGTCGCAAAAATACCTCGGGAAGACTTCCGAAGTGGACCACCCCCAGAATGGCGTTAGAGATATATCATATGAAAGTACTTTAGGAATAGGTTACAGTGATATGTGTTTCAGCTGAGAGAGTTGAGATATGAAGGTGTAATATTAATGTGTTAATATAATGGTAATGCTCTACGTGGGCATCCTGGAGCAGCCATGTAATGCACCCCGCCCAGGCCATTGCATCTGCTAGCTGTGCTATGGCCTTCCCAGGCATGCACACTGTACTCAGGTCAAGTTTTATTAGGCTCTTCTGGTCTAGTCGTCATTGTTCTGGTGAGATCCGTCCTCGCAGGGTCACAGTTAGTGTCCTCGGAAATTTTTTCCCCAGTAGAGTGTCAAAGGCCAAAGAGTGAGAAAGTCAGCCTATTTTGGGAATGATGGGTCAGTTGGGTTAGGAAAGGGTCGCGGCCTTCGGCTGCGATTATTTTCTAACCCAACTGACCCAGCATTCCCAAAATAGGTTGACTTTCTTGCTTTTTCGGCCAAAAATAGAAGGAATGCGGCTTGCTTGATCTGTGTTCATCCTATCTTCTCTGATGTTAGTTAGTTTAGGTTTATAGTGAAAACCCAAAAGCACTGGTGAAACAGTGTGTGTGTCTAGCATTCAGGTGATTGATTTTATTCTTTTGGGGAATATGGGGTGCATAAGGTTACTGTTCCAACAAAAAGGGGTGCTCTAACCCTCTACCCAATATGGCTGCCCCCATGTTGAACATGTGTGTACATGCCACTACTTGCCTGCTTATCCTACAACCCATGCATCTTAAAATATAAATTACTACTTCTTTTCTTATTTTTTCAGCTAAAATATGCACCAACGCAATCCATTCATCAAGAGCTTGCGATTGATATATCACATGTACCATTCCTGGGGGTGGTCCACTTTATAAGTCTTTCCTATCTCAGATACAATGCATTTTTTTAGTAATGGAATCAACCATGCTGGTAAGTCTAGCACCATAATCAGGCTCCAAACTTCCTTTTATAATGTTCTTTGGTTAGGCTCAATTTATGAATATAAATTTATGAATACAAATGAATACGAATGAATACAAATTTATGAATGAAGTTGATTGTAGGTGGGGTTTGGTATTCTGAAAATTTTTTGAAACCATGATAGGTTAAGTGATGAAATTTTAATGAAGGAGGCATAACTCCAGGACAAAGTGCAATCAAGTTTTGTTTGAAATTATCCTTTGGTAAATCAGTAAAGTTCAAAATGAGAATGTATGGCTAGATGCTTCCTTGCTTTGTGAGGCTCTCCCTTTCTCCATTCTTTGGTGGGACACAGTCATTATCTACCAAGAAGGCTGGGCTCAGGATGGTCTCATTGCATTCAGAGTATTTAGAATTTGTAATGGCTTATTGTTTCTTTCTCTCTTTATATTTTGGCATGGTAGAATTGTGACATTAAGGGAAAAAAGAGAAAGAAGTGGATGTTGAAGAAATGTGAGATAGTGTGCATAATAATAAAAAATAAAATGGCAGACAAAAAAGCCATAGGCAGAATATTGGGACATGGGCAACTAAGAAGAATTGAATATAAGTTGGTTGTGTCATTGCATTGCTGAAAGAGATTTTGTATGTTTTGTCTCACAGTGAATGGAGTGTGGAGATTCCACCGTAGCTGTGCATATCTGGGTGAACCAGGCCTGGACGGGGATGAGCGCTACTGCATCTTCCGATCGGGGACCTGGAACATTCACATGGAGTACTGCACCTGCAGGGGGAAGGATGGTTGCAACTCTGCCCCTCAGTCTCATGCTGCTCCAATTGTCATTGTTCCCCTTGTCACCGGCCTGGTGTTTCGAATAGCTCATATCCGCCTCTAAGTCATACCCAGCTCAGTGTTCTTTTCTCCATTCCGTCCAGTTTTATGGCAGTTATTCCGTCCTCGATGCTGATCTTTCATCTTCCTTCGTCCCAGCTTTCAAATATTTTTTGTTGTTGTGAATCTCATTGTGTCCAATGTTGACTTGATGCATCCCCCATTCTATTACTGATCTCATATATCATGGTTTACTATTTTTTAGTATTGGCAGTTTTTTACATGTGGCAT